ATTAAGAATCTCAATTTTTTAAGTTTTATATTATTTTTAAATTGAAGTAATATTGGTTTATCATTGTTTGTATTTTGGGAGTAGAGGGTCTTCCCCACCTTTATGTGCCATTACACAGTGTACCCGCCACTAAAGCACCCGTAATCCACCACCATAGTCCGTTGTGCTTCCACCTCACTTAGGTCTTGCCCCTCCCCCACTCTTCTGCTAATTTTTGCAAATTCTACCCCAGTATCACATAAGCACAAAAAGGCCTAACTGGTAGGCCCAGAGGCTTCTTTACAGTCTTTGAAAAGTTTTTTCCCCCAGTATTTGGCGCTGGCTTTGTCACTGCTTATGTCTTGAAAACTATCTTCAATTAACAATTTCAGGCCCTCTATAGTGTCCTCTGGCTTCACATACATTGCCCTTTCTTTACACATTTTCTCAACGTTTTGACTTTCGTCCTCTACTATTCTTTCTGAATGATTTCATTCACTTCTAGGAGTATGGAGGACCTCCATGCCAACTTTTCAAGTTTAGACTTTGTTCTCTAGATAAAAAAAGTTATTATATAAGTTTCTGACCAGTGGAATATCACAGAGAAAGTAATGTTGTAGGAACATTACCTAGGAAATGTTCTGCAAAAACAATTGTAGAGAATAATCAGGAGACCATCAAAATAAATGTACATTTAAAGTCATCACCAATGGTGGCTTCAGAATGAATGTTACTTTTGTTTTCTAGTACTTCTTCCCCATCAAAAACTGGTCTTATTCCAATAAATCAGGAGGCAAGGCACTTCTTGCCTTGAAACACTAGTTTCAATTACATAGGGTTTTTCCCCAAACATAAATTTAACTATAGCAAATCAGCTCTCAAGTAATAATTGTATATAATAAAAATTGGACATTGCTTCATTCTTATACACCATTGTGAGTTCTTATTCTCCAAAAATAAGTGGCATTGAACTCTATATTTGGTCCTTATATTTGATGTTTACTTCTTTCATTATATAGATAATAAATCATCAATACAGATATTATTCATAAAAGGCAGAACTGCCTTTGATTTCAGCTAATGAAGGAATGGTAAAAGTTTTTTACTTCACCTGAATATATTCAAGATACTTAAAGCCACATTCACTGATAGTGTTATAGTGGAGAAACCAAAAATCACATTTGCGCTTATGGTAGCCAGTGCCATAGGGAAGTCCAATTTCCCCATGGGGCTGACTAACCACGCATGGCTCTGTCCTAAATTACGTAGGGCACCAAATCTGTTATAGAGCAGGGAGAGGGTCAGCCCAAGCCCCGCAAACCTGCCTATTCTAAATGGGTTCTGCCATCCGCCGCATCAACACAAAACATATGAGACTTTAATGGGAAGGATTTTTAATAAAACTAGGAAACAATACAGGTAAGGCAAAGAGTCTAGTTTTTAAATGAAGCACCCAAAGTTACCCGTTCCCTCGTGGGTAAAAGTCCATCCATATGGGATTGGCCCAGAACAAGGCCCCAAAGCCTGCCACAAGTCTAAAGCATCTTCCAGTGGGGACCCACAGAAAAGGGCCAGAAACAACCGGACAAGCCCGGAAGGAAAAGAGCAAAATCAACATCAAGATAAAAGCTGCCATTGTCACCTCCCCAAGGGTCTCACCCACATCTGTGTCACCCAGTCCACGACCAAAAGACAAGCGCAGTTTCTTCACGTGTCTCTAGGCTCCATGGGCCTCCTCCAGGTCTCCTTCTGGCTCCATCCTGCTTCCTTCCTTAGTCTCTTCTGCAGCTTCTCTCCCTGCTCAGCTCCACCCTCCCTTGGGTGGGGCAGGGAATCTCCCCCTTTCCTGGGGACCACCCTGTTGCAATAGTATATGTCTCCTGCATAGTATTTTCTTTTTAAATATTTATTTATTTATGCATACAAGAACTGGGGTACAGGCCAGAGGTGTGGGAGGTGAGAGGATTCACCAGAGACAGAGCGGGGGAAAAGCATAGGCAGACTGACTGAAATACAGTGCTGAGGGGAGCAACGGTGAGTCAGGAAAGGTCTGCTGCACCATGTGGGTAGCTCCCTGGCTGGCCAGGGATTGAACTTGTGCTGCAGAGGCTGCAGACAGTTTCACAGTGCTGTGCTTAACTCCTTGTGCCAACAGGGAGGCCCTCAAACATAGTATTTTCTATAATTGAATGCTTTAAAATTCTAAATGTATAGATAACACAGTATTTAGAAATATCCTAATGAAACAATCTAGAACCTTACAAAAATAGAAGCAGAAATCACCTAAATTAGGTACAACCCTACTCCCACCTGATTCAGTAAGGAAAAAAAAAGGGCCTTCCTGGTGGCGCAAGGGGGTAGAGACCCAACAGGTTCAATCCCCGGCTGGGGAGCTGCCCACATGGTGTAGCAGACCTCTCCTGGCTTGCCCGCTGCTCCCCTCAGCAGTGTGTATTAATGGATCTGCCTGCTCTGTTCCCCGCTCTGTCTCTGGTGGGTTCTCTCATCCCTCCCCCCAACCTCTGGCCTGTACCCTAGTTCTTGTGAGCATGGATGGATAAATCTTTAAAAAAAAAGGAAAAAGAAAACCAATTTTTGGCTCTTCTTTCTCAAGTGATTCACATTGGGAGATGCTATGCCTTTATCAAGATCAATTGCAATTTGGACCTCCCCAGTGGCTCAAGGTGTTAATAAGGACTGCAACATGAAGCTATTCAAAGCCTCTGCAGCATGAGTTTGATCCCTGGCCTGCCAGGGAACTACCCACGTGGCACAGCAGACCTCTCCTGTCTCACCAGCTGCTCTCCTCTGCAGTGTATTTCAGTCTGCCTAATCTGTTCCCTATTCTGTCTCTGTTGAATCCTCTCACCCCCTCTCACCCCCACCACCCCACACTCTGTCCTGTACCCCAGTTCTTGTATGCATAAATAAATCCTAAAAAAAATCAATTTCAATTTTAAGAACTCTCACTATAAGTAGTCATGATAATAGAAATTATTCCTCCCTATTGTATGACCTTGGGAAAATTACCTACACATTATTACTTTCACACTATTCTCACATACTGTGAAGATTAAATGATATATTCGTTGAAAGTTCTTTAGTTCTTTGAGCACATTGGGCCAGAAGAGCACAGAAAGCCATGGCATAGTTATTTAACTATCTACTATTTCTTTTGTCTTTTCCCTCTTATTTCATTTCCTTGGAAATGAAACAAAGTTGGTAGTCACCTTCTGCTTAATAATGTTTCATGTACTTGAAATTATTATTCTCCACAAGTGTCTCAAGCAAAATATTTTGAAAATTGTCTGTATTATAAAACACCAGTCTAGGGCTGTGAGTCAGCATTTCACCTAAACAGAAAATCAAAATGATTTAAATAGGTAAAACATAATCTTTCTGAAAGACATGTACACTTCCTTGGAGAAGCTTAAAGAAACTGGAATTTGCAAGTTTATGAATAGTTTATTACATTTCAATAAGTATATTGTGAATCAATAAAGCAAAAGTTAAGGACAGTGGGCTCATTGCCATGGCAGTTATTGATTCTTAAGTTCCAAAATAGAATAGTACAGGAAAGATATAGAGAAAATAGAATTTTTTGTGATGATAAAAAAAACAAGTATCTTAGGAACATAGACACACCTAAAGAAATTACTAGACAAAAAGGAATTTTTAGCAGTTACTTAAGATGTTTGTTCCAACTAATTTCTTTTTTTTTTTTTTTAAGATTTATTCATACAAGAACCAGGGTACAGGCCAGATGTACGGGAGGGTAAGAGGATTCACCAGAGACAGAGTGGGGAACAGAACAGGCAGACTGACTGAAATACTCTGCTAAGGGGAGCAGCAAGCGAGACAGGAGAGGTCCGCCCCGCTATGTGGGTATCTCCAAGGCCGGTGGGGATCGAACCGGCACTGCAGAGGCTGCGGACAGCTTCACAGCACTGCGCTCAACCACCTGCGCCACCAGGGAGGCCCAAACTAATTTCATTTTTATGGTAATTAGAAATATTATTTTGTTTTTCCTCCCTAAAATAGCTTTGCAGATCAAGTCAGAGGACTTTGCAAAAACTAATTATTACCTTTCACTGATTCATTTACTCTTTTGACTTCCTATATATTTTCTTCTCTTGTCTTTGAAAAGTCTATCTTATTAGATGTCTATCTTTTATCACTGCATCAGTCAGTTCAGGCTGTCCTAACAAAATACCAAAGACTGGTTGACTTAAACTCAGAAATTTACTTTTGTGTAGTTCTACAGACTAGAGGTTCGATATCCAGTTGCCAGTCGAATGGTTTCTGGTGATGGTCTTTTTCCTGGCTTGTGGCCAACAGGGAAATGACACACTTCTAACTGTGTCCTGGTGAGGAAACAGCAAGCTGTCTGGTGTCTCTTCTTTTAAAGACCAATTCCATTCTGATAGTCTCACTTTCATAACCTCATCTAACCCAAATTACCTCTCAAAAGCCTCGTTTCCAAATAACATTAAATGATGGATTAACCCTCTAACAGATTAATTTCAGGGGCACACATTCAGTTCAGGCATTCACTAATAAGAAAATATGATACTGACTCCAAATCATTATATAGATAATATGGAAATGAACAAGCCTATTTGTTTTCAAACAATTCCAGTAGAAATCTTCCTTTTCTCTTCTTTTCACAACAATCTAATTCAACAGGAAAAGAACACCCTAAAAAATTAAGAACTAACACGAATTTCATGAAGCAGTAACTTTTAAAAGACAATGATAGAAAGTGAGATAAAATTGATATGGTTAAAAAGAATGAGAAAAAGAATATTAACTCATCAGTTTATTAAATAAAAACTTTTAATACTATACCTTGTTCTTATATGAACTAAAGATTCCAAAATAATTTAAAGCACTTGTTTGTCATTGGAAATATAATACACAATACCATTTCTATATTAGATTTTCATGATATTACTAAAATAATAAATCACATTATTTTTCATTTAAAAAATGGAAAACTGAAATAGTAAAACAAAACTGACAAAATTACAATTGGTTTGTGCTGAGTTTTATCTAATTTTAATACAAGTAGTATTTTTTATTATATACTGCATATGTTTGAGAGTTTAAGATATTTATTTTTCTTGGTTGAACAAAACTCTTCATTTGAAATACTTAAAAACAGCTCTCTGAGAACATTTCCAAAGTGACCATTAAGTGAACAGAAACAGTTTTCAAATTTTTGAGCAGATGTTTAGGAGAAGATAGAATGAAAGGTGACAGATCCAGTTTAGGTGAGCTAGTGAGGCCATCCAATTAGCAGGTTACAGTTATAAATGGAACCCATGGTTTTCTTGTCTAAAAATGCTGTAGGCTTGTATTTTCAGGGTGAAGGAAAAGAAAATGTAGTTATAGCCCAGATCATTTTATACTAGAAAACAACTGTGGAAACTAACTTTAATTTTTCAAAACTCAATTAAGTGTGTGTATGGTCCATTGGTATCCAGCTTTAACACCTGCCTGTTTCCATAAGTGCCATGTTCTACCACAACACCAGCTTCAGCACACTTGCTGTTAGAAGCTAATTCTTTTTTACATAGAGTCACAAATTGGGAATAAAGTTCTAACCCTTCTTCTTTTCCAGAGTTAGAGTGATACTGCATGTTTCTTCCTTTAACTCTCCCCCCGAGGGTGGCTTGAGGGATGATAAGAATGCTGCCAGGTAGATCCAATATAGAGACGTTCTTGCCATTTTCTGTCTCACTTAGTTTCACATTTAACAGGGTATTAACTGGGTGGGGAAGAAAGAGAAAACAATTTGAAGTGAAAACAAAAAATACCAGCAATTTATAGTTGATCTAAAATCTGATGTTTAAAACTCAGTTTGTTGGCTCATGCTTCTAACCCAAAGACTCTATTTAAATTTTTATAACTGATTTATTAAGTGAAATAACATAAGCATGAAAAACAAGGTAAATTTCATGCAGGAAATGGCATGATACTTTAAATCTGACTTGGCAGTTAAAATCAACTAACAGTTTATCTAGAAGGGACTGAAGAATTAACTGAATACTGAAGCCTCAAAATATTATTGCCCCAAAGAGAGAAATGAAATTTTAATCTCTTGTTCCTCATTATATTTCATAAGTAAATCCCACTGGAGAAAGACCATAATAAATCCTCTTCACACCAAATTCTGCTTCATAAGAACAATAAATAAAAATCTTATTGGATTTTAAACTTTGTTGCCTAGAGTTCTAAGTTAAGACAAAGGTTCTAAGTTCAATACCATTACAAACCAAGTAATTTTGCAGTTTCATAACCTCAAAGGCACTATTAACACAGAATAATTATTTTTCAAATATAATGCATAGGAGAAAGGTAGAAATGAAAACAAGAATCACCAGACATTGTTACAACTGAAAAAAAAAAAAAAACAACCAAAAAAATATAGCTGGTGGCATGTTCTTCATAAAATACAAGAAAATATGGTATTATTATTTTTATGGCATTTATGAAATTATATTTATTGCTAGTAAGTGTCAAAATCACCATAAAATCTATGATAAAAAATCTAAACTTAGAAAACTCATAACATTAACCATTTTCAAAACAATAAACCAAAAAAAAAAATGTGCTTAATATAAATAGCCTTAGGGTCTCACTTCCTACACTGAGGGTATAAGTAACTGCGGCTTACAAAGAAAGGTCCTAAGAGAACAAATTATAAAAGAAACTTATATACCTCTCTCCTGTCCAATAATTAGACTTGAAAAGGCATACTTTCTGGTGGGATAGTCAATGGTTTCAATATTAGAGGGTCTACTATAAATATTAAAAAGGATTCAGGGAATTAACCTGGTAAAAACCAGCCAAGGTGAACACTCAATTCCTAAGCTATACATTAGCACTATCAATTTTCACTAAACTAACATCTATTTTAAAATACCTCTAATCTTCTTGGGCCTCCCCGGTGGCGCAGCGGTTGAGCGCTGGGTTGCGAAGCTGCCCACAGCCTCTGTGGCGCCGGTTCGATCCCCGGCTGCTCCCCGGCCACCGGAGGAGGGTCCCACATGGCGCGCAGACCTCTCCTGCCGCCCGCTGCTCCCCTCAGCAGTGTACTTCGGTCCTTCTGCCTGCTCTGCTCTCTGCTCTGGCTCTGGTGAATTCTCTCACCCTCCCGCGCTTCTGACTGTACCCAGTGCATGTATAAACAAAAAAAAAGAAAGAAAGAAAGAAAACATGCCTCTATTAAAAAAAAAAAAAAAAAAAAAAAACCTCTAATCTTCTTTATTACAAACAGAACTCTGCTATAAAGCCAGTGGTACTTATTGCTTGCATCTAAGGAAACTAACTTTCTAGAGCACATCTATCTAAAGGAAATCACTATCCAGCTATATGGGCTTCTGGCTAGTGACAGAATGAAGAGGCAATTTTGGAGTAACAAGCCAGAGAAGTAAGTACAATTTATTATACTTCCACACACCACCCTCTACTGGTTATAACTGAGAATTCAATTAATGCTGTTGGAATATAAATATAAGTATATAGAAGGACATGAATACAAATACAAATATCAGTAAGTAGAATTAAAATGAGACAATGAATTAATGGCATGTTGGAAACTCAAAGATCCTAAGACAGATTATCAATCAAGTATCTCTAATGATCTATATGGGAAGTGAAGCTTTGACAGGTCCCTGGAACTCAGTTCAATTACACTGAATTGAGAAAAATTCTGCACATTTCTATGTCAGCCATGCTATTTTAGGCTTTAATGAACATAACTGGTTTTCATACTCCCAAGGTTATGTACAATGATTTGATTGGGAAATCTCAATTTATGTATTTATTATCAGCTGGGATTTAAGAGAATCCCATCACTCTGGCTTACTTTGCCATCTGGAATAGAGGGAAGTATAAGCTAACACTGTCAATAACTGATGAACTTATTTTGCTTATACTTCACACCAGCAGAATGTGGTTTTTAGAGTCACAATTCTTTATTGAGATACATGATATATAAAGTTTTTTTGTTAGACTACTAAAAGGACCTTCTTGATGTTTTCATTTCACCACAATCTTATGCATGTATTTAAGGTGAACTCATTTACACATATTGGACCACATAGAATTTAATCACTGTAAAGCAAAATGCAGCTTGGATTTGGTTGGTTCATTTGATCTTATTATAATTAACATCTATTTAAAAAGACATAAATTAACTTTAGAAAATCAATTTTAAGTCACAATGACAAAAATTCTCCTCCTGTTTTTAAAGATGTTTACCATACTTTAAAATATTTATTTATATATTTTTTACATCATTGTCTACCATAAATTTTATAGTCAATAATGATTTAATTCAAGGAATAATATGAACTCAGGAAAATGGACAGGATGTCCAATATTCAAGCATCAGGACCTGGCAAATCATCCTCATTAACAGAAGTCGTCATTTCATTTTCACCTTAAACCCTTCAAAGATCCCTATTATCATCTGGATTTAGATTTCAAATTATTAGTTACTGGCTCTCTACCCTTACCTTATTACAATCCCTTCAAAAATCTAGTTTTCATTCTCTGACAAAGTTGCCAATCATGTTGGATATCTCAATATAAAATTCCCTCTAGGAACTTCAGTTCTTTTTTTTTTTTTTTTTTTGTCTAAGCTGATCCTTTTATTTAAGGCTTTGGAGGTGTGGGGGATAATTATTTTATCAAATACTGTCTGGAGACAATGTATTACTTGATTTGGTATGTCTGAACCCATGTAATTATCACAAGGAATACATAGGGGTATGAACTAGTTAGGATCCTTGGAAGTTGCAGGCAGGTATGTTACTGTTCAGAGACACACATTAACTCTGCTTTCTTTGCCCCTGGAGGAGGTATGATTATGATGATATTGAGCTTGGTTCAAGAATCAGCAGAATCTGATTATGTTTATATACATTTCCTACAAACCAGTGCATAAATGGTAAATGTAAATTCTTTCATAATAATAATTACATAAGTCTGAGTTGTCCAGAGTTGATTCCATATCTATAACTACAGTGTCACCTATATGGCCCTCTTAGGGACTCCAGGAGATAAGAGAGACTATATTAAGAAATGTAGCATCTGTTTCTCCCTATGTGGCTACCTTACTTCCAACAAGTTTGTGTATCCTTGACGAAAACTCAGTGTAGAATGTGTTTGTGCGTATGCGTGTGTGAATGAATGTACATCATACTTGCTTACCTTAAACTCTGGAATAGGTAAATAGCTAAAACTAACAATAGTATAAAGTAATTTAGAACTGACATACCAATGTAGTTAAAATTGTGTTTTTTGCCCTTTTGGTTCATCAATCTATTGTTACTCAGTCTTACTCTTACAAAGAAACAGCATCAAACACCTACCCATTTTGGGAAGAAGTTCTTTGTCAGCTCCCTTGAAAAAGCACACATAGATCACTAATCCTCTTTGAATCTGTAAGAAATCACCACAGTAAACTCAGAACTTCTATATAGATACAGAGCTAAATAAATACTATTTCATAACTGTCACAGAGGTTTAAAAGCAAAGGAAGAAAACTTAGTTTCTTACAACAGATTTGATTTCTTAATTGATTATGTGAGAAAATAAAATCTTTTTCAATTACCTCAGATATAATTTCTATAAAAAATGAAGTTTAATATATAGCTAACAGCAGTGAAGACCACAAGTTGTACCTTTAAACATTTACTTCTAATCATAATCATTAAAACGATGAACTAGCTTCCTTCTCTATATGGCTAATAGACTTAGAAACAGTTTGTGAGGCCACATTTATTCGACTCCAAATGAATTCACATTTACTACATATGGCTGACATTATCAACAACAGTGTGATTAATACATCATGATGTCATCACTCTTTATTTCTCCTAATTCATTTACTTGTAGATAATGAAAGTAAGACTGTCAATAAACTCCAGGAAACTGTTCAATTATTTTTTTGTCAGTTGTTAATGCTTTAAATAAATATAGTGACTAGGCCTTGGAAATTGCATTTATGATACTAAGTTCTACATTTATTATCAGGAATGAAAGCTTATTTATTTTCTATGACTTAGATGTTTATTAGTACTTGTCGGATAGATACACCGTAGAAAAGGGACATTTGATAAATTTGATTTTGCTAAGTGATCATTAGAGTTCTGATTTTGTGAATAACTTTTTGAATCATTAAATTTTTGATTTTGGATATTAATCTTGTTAAGTCCATGGGTTATTATGAAGGTTATATGAGTTAATACTTGTAAAGTGTTTAAAACAGTGCCTGGCTCATAGTAAAAGCTATATAAATGTTTATTAAATGAGCATGTAAAACTCCCAAAGCACTTTACATACAGTTTTGCACATGACAGGGACTCAACTAATCTGTTGCTTTCATATTCAACTGTATATAACAGACAACATGTGTAACATTAATAGTATTCTAAGTCAGTATAAATGCAACTCTTCACTCATACCTGATTTACCTGGAAAAGAATTAATTTTTTAAAAGTACAATTGTGCTTCTGGGACAAGTGAGGGACTCTAATGTACAACCATAGTAAGTTAGCAGGCTGAATGATACAGAGAGCTGTACCATGGTCACAGATCTCTCCACTGGGGTTGTTTCGGTGTGAGCCAGTATCTCAAGCATACTCCTATGTGGACACTCCCAATGTGTCAGAATTAAATATCTAATTATTTGCAGAAACAGATACCTATTCTTTCCAATCAGCACACTACCTCCTCATTAAGGTATTTTCTTTCGGCTTATTCCAATAATAAATTTTAAGTTGTGAGCTACAAATTCCCCTCTTCAAGTCAGAATCACTTCCCTAGTAGCTTCTTTTGGTATAAAACATTTTAAATATTCTCACTGTAGCTTTAAAAAGTTCCCTTCCTACAAAGAAAAACGTTTGTGACAGCAAAGATCTAGATGAATGAAACTAAGAACACACAAAGTAGTTTTCAAGTCTTCTGACAATTGAAACAATTTTTTAAAAAAACGTTAGAACTTTTAATGATAGGGAATAGTATGCTTAGGAAAGAACTTACTTTTTCACCATCTAATTACTTGTCAGCTCCATATATTAATTAAGTCATGTGTGGGAGTGGAAGAGAAAGCTTTAAAATAGCTTTTAAAGTTTATAAACACAAGATGATAGTTTTGGGAAGGCTGCAATAAAATATCTGCAATTTTGCAGAAGGAAATATGGCATGAAGAATATAAAAAGATAAAGCAGCAAGCAAGAACTCTAAATGATTAATAGTTTATGATTTATAGTTTCATAAGGCAACCATAAAAATTGGCAATTCTTTAGATAGGATGGTAAATATATAAAAAATAAAATTTTTAAAAATGGAAGAAAAACCAAGACCCCAGAAAGATTATAAAAGAACATGAAATTCTGAGAAAGAAAATGGGAGAGGAAAAATAGGAATTTTTATGTTTATAAATATTTCCAAATCAGCAGAAGTTAACTGATTCTGATTTAAGAACACTCATGCACATATCTTAATTTCGAGGTGGTACTGAAAATAATGATTAGGATTATATTAAAGGATGCTATATTGGGACCGATTTTGACAAATAAGATAAGTGAATGAGACTCTCCCACGTTACCTCAAGTCTTAATTTTGAACTAATTAAAAAAAAAATTCAACTTACTTCAAAAATAAGCCAGGGGCCTTAAAGGACATTTTATTAATATTTATTTTCGCACAGCCTGGGGGCAGGCTGTCTTCAAAATACACAAGTAAAAAGAAATCATTGGTGTGTTTTAAATTGGAGGAAATGTATTCGCTAACAATGAAACGTTATTATACAAGCTGGAGTCTTTTTTTTCTAGTGGGAAACAAAGTTCTTAAAGTCTCTTGAAAAAAGAATGGTATCTTGGGAAATCTCATTTCACTGCTAAGACCTAGCCTCTCAGTCAACATTAAGAGGGAATCAGAAGGGATCCGGTGCACAAGTCAAAACAGACCTTGAACACTGGCAACAAATGTACCCTACAAGATCCAATCAGACCAGGCCAGGACCCCAGTCGCCCCAGCAAAGGGAAGGGCGTGGCAAGGCCTTTCCTCTGTGGAACCGAGAAGTTTGAGACAATGTAGAAGCTCCAGAAAATCAAGTGTGAATGGAAGTTCAAATTCCCGCGGTCCTCCCAAACCGGGGCCTCGGCCCCTCGCTGCACACACTTGCCAGACACCACGCCATCCACTCGGGGCAGGCGGGGGTACACCTTATCGAGACAACTCGGAAATAATAACCGTGCACCTCCCAGGATAACAGGAGCTGCGGGACCGACGTTACCTCCACCCACTGTGCCTCTGCGTCCCGCTCGGCGGGGCGTACTTGCAGCCGGGCGTGCAGGCACTGCTGCAGGAGCGCCCGCGCCTGAAGTGTCCGGCCGCTTTCAGCCATAGCTGGAGCCAGCGCGGCATCCGACTGCGCAGGCCCCGCCCCCGGCGCGCTGAGAAGACAAGCTGGACGCGGCGTCCGGTCGCCAAGACCGCCTGTGGTCCCGCCCGTAAGGGGCGGGGCCTCTGCTTGGCTCTCTGATGTCCCGGATGTAACGTCATCAGAAAATTGCCCCTTAGGCAGAAGCTACCCAATGCTTTAGGTTTTTAGTGCGTAGTTTTAAACGAGTGAAAAACAAAAACAAAAACAAAAACAAAACAAAAACAAAACAAAAAATCCCCAACGCTTTGGATCTCTTCCCTACGTGTCTCTTGAAGTATCCAGACTTTGAGAACACTTTAAGTTCATGTTATGCCCATTGTCAAGATAGGTAAAGAATGGATCGATTGAATCACAACACAAATGGAGATGGAAAAGCTATAAATCATCCCGCATTTTTTTTAACCCCAATTAATAAAACAACCGTGCCTCTTCCACCAGGACCATTATAAGTTATTTGGATTTAGCAGTTAGGGAAATGTGTTGGTATGCCATGTGAACACGCTTTTGGAAATCAGTCCTTTACAAAACACTCTTGCTAGGCATATTCTTACCTGAGAAAGTGTGTGATTGTTAATATTTTTTTTTTAACGAGCTACTAACACAGAATTGAAATGACATTCTGATGCACATGATATCAAATTCTGTGATGTGAAGTTTCCTGTAGGGCATACTGTATTAGAATGTAAATAAAATTAAACAAGGGATTGATTTTCTTTCCCACATAATGTATTCCTTGAACTTGCATCCGATTAGCATTATTTTTCTATGGGCTTGGAAGGTTTAGAAGAGGAATAATAGTGTTACCCTGATTGCATTACCTAGGTCATTGATTTGGGCTCAGTTGGTACAATATGCCTAAACATTCGTGTCTGTTGTTTTAGAAGATGACATCACTGATAGTGTTGCTATCCATACAAAGTAGTGTGGTTGAAGAAAATAATCCATGCGTAATCAACTTCCTTTCTACACAAAATTGAAGCAGTTTGTTCGCTGGTTATTTTGCAGCCTGCCTTACACATTTTTGTTAAACAACAATAACAAAAAAACCCAAAAATTCACATTATGTTTGATTCCTGCATTGCAGAGTTTCCTACATTTGTTGATACTGTCTGCAAAGCACAGCTGAGTGGCATTGCTTAATGTCTGCACCTTTGTGCTATTATAACTATTGAGTCTCTTTTCTCTTTAACCCCCAGACTCAAGTTTTACAGGACTAGGAGGAATTTTAGCATAGAGGCCCTCAGTTTTGACCCAGAATAAGAAAGGACTGTGATGTCTATTTGTACATGGGTCCAGGAGGCAGGAAAGTCTCTTGAAAATAGGGTGTATGGTTCCCACAGATCTCTAATTTTGAAAATTGGGAAACACTTCTGTGAATAGATGGAATCTGGTTGGTAATGGTTAGCCTTTCAAAACTCACCAATTACTTTGGCGTTTCTGTTAAATGAGGATCTTCTGGACATCAATGTGAATAGCAATAGGTTGCCACTCATTTAATCTTGCTTTCTACCTTCAGATGGCAGGAGAGAGTAAGCAGTAAAGAGAAAGTGTTTCCTATTTTACTTTTTTGGTCATCTAGTCTCTTTCCACGCAGAATTTAAGAAGCAAAACACACATGCAAGACACACATGTAGTGCAATTACAAAATGTGAATGAAAATAAGGCTTTAGGAGTAAAGAAAATAGAATTGTGTCAATAAGTTGCAATGAGGGAAATAAGGAAATAGGATGATGATTTTTGACTGGACTGCTGAGATGATGCAGTATGTAGCAAAGTTTTCACAAATATAGAGCCTCCCTGGTGGCGCAGCGGTTGAGCGCTGGGTTGCGAAGCTGCCCGCAGCCTCTGCAGTGCCAGTTCAATCCCCGGCTGCTCCCCGGCCACTGGAGGAGGGTGCCACATGGTGCGCAGACCTCCCCTCAGCAGTGTACTTCGGTAGCTCTGCTCCCTGCTCTGGCTCTGGTGAATTCTCTTACCCTCCCGCGCTTCTGACTGTACCCAGTGCTTGTATAAATAAATAAATCTTTAAAAAAAAAGTTTTCACAAATATATAACTTTAATTTTTGTTATAAAACAACTATATCCATGGTATGTAATGCTGAGATGGACCAGGTTGTAAAATTTGCTTTAAATGAGAGGTAAAAGGTAAAACACAGAATTATATTGGCTCCAGAACACGGTGGTAGTTCACTGGAACATAAGACAACTTCGCCTTGTGAGTATATGAGAAATAATTTTCTGGGCAGGAATAGTTCTTACACAGCTACATAGCTGAAAGGGGACCATATAGTTAGCGGGTTAATTGTGAATCTATTCTACACCCTATGAGATGGCACAATAATTTATTTAGGGGTGTTTTAAGTTACTTAATTCATTCAAATTGACTGCCCAAACTAACATGCAGAAGTGTTTCATAAACATGAAAACTCTGCAAACTATTTCTAAAGATCCCTTAATACTGAGCTTCCTTTCCTTAGTAAAGAAAAAGGGGTAAAAAAGAGCACTGTAATCTATTTCATAGTTCTTGAAATAAACAGAGCATTTCCTAAGATTCAGCTCTAAAATAAGGCTCTTTCTGTAGGTTGTATGCAGGGGTGTGTTAGTCCGTAGAAGTAGAGTCAGAAGATGTAGATGTCATTTAGGGAAATCTGGAAGAAATCTAGCCCTCTACTTCAAATTCAGAGATTTACTTTTTTCAAGCTTAGAGAGGTGATCAAGTTCTGAGAAATTGGTTTACACTAACTAAAATGCACATGATATTGTGGTAGAACTAGAATATTAATTTATTCATTCATAATGAAAAAAATGTTTCTAGGATATAAAGTGCCAATTCTAACATAGGCATAATTAGTACATTTTCCCCCATGGTCTAGCATGGGAACCTAGATCATATTCGAAAGTACTTTTATTAATTTTCTATGAGAGATAGTTTTCTACCAGGGCATGTGAAACTGATATGTGAAAGACCCATGTGAATTCTGGCTTCAAGACACCGCCACATGTTTTAACACTGTGAAGAAAGAAGACACAGATGGATTTAAATAACAACCTATAATTAAAAAGTCCAAAGGCAACAGCTGCATACTACAACCATGGTTTTGTCTTGGGCCTACTTCTTACATAGGGAGATACATAAGCCCATAGGCCCATTTATAGTTCAGTTGAAAGCCCTCTATACAGACATACAGAGCCTGGGAAAATGATAGTATCCACCTTAGAGTTTAGTCTAACTTCAAAACACATAGTTTGTACAACCAGGTAGGGGTGGGATAGAGTTTAGAAGTTGATATCGATCTTTTGTTCAATTTGCTTTTTTAAATTCTTATCTTATTACTCTACCATTTGCTGCTGTGTTGCCTAGGTAACAATAGAACAAGTGCTTTTAAATCTAGGCAATGATTTTTTTGGGGGGGCAGTCTATAAAATCCCTAGAGTGGGCTGATAATTATCTTGATCTTTGGGTTATTTCTCAGTTCATAGTGTTGTGATAGCTAAGCATTGCTTAACCTTTTGAATCTTTGTATACGTCTGTTAGCAGTTTTGTCAAGTCAGCCCAGCCTGCTGTAAGGGGGAAATACATATATAATTTTGACATATGCTTCTTTCGTAGGAAAAAATGTGAAAGATTTTGAAGTGGGTAAAAGAGATTTCTAGATATCTTTTATTTGTTTTTTTTTTAATTTTTTTTTTTATAGAGGCATGTTTTATTTATTTATTTATTTGTTTGTCTATACATGCACTGGGTACAGTCAGAAGCACGGGAGGGTGAGAGAACCCACCAGAGCCAGAGCGGGGAGCAGAGCAGGAAGAAGGACCAAAGTACACCGCTGAGGGGAGCAGCGGGCGGCAGGAGAGTTCCGCGCGCCATGTGGGACCCTCCTCCAGGGTCCTGGGAGCAGCCGTGGATCAAACCGGCTGCCGCGGATCCAACCGGCTGCCGCAGAGGTCTCCGGCAGCTTCGCAACCCAGCGCTCAACCGCTGCGCCACTGGGGAGGCCCTCTAGATGTCTTTTAATGGATAGCTGGAGGCTCTGGGGATTACCTGGGCCTATAGAACTCTATAGCATTTGACTTTGACTAAATTACAACTCTGTAGCGAAAGGTTAACTTTTTGAACATTGGTAGTAAGCAAATCATTCCTGTTCATAAAATGTAAAATTGTGTCCAATGGAATGCAAATGATCATTATTCTGTGGATACTAAACATTCCTTCCCCACCCCCAGTTTTGCATCCATTTGTAAATTCACTCCAACATTCCTGATAGACCATAAATGTGTAGCCCCTTGAGTTCTTTCTTTTTGGAAAAAATCAACTTTTAAAATTTAGAATAGATTTAGATTTTTAGAAAAGTTACAAAAATAGTGCAGTTTTCTCATTTACCTTTCACCCAATTCCCCTAATGTTGACATCTCAAATTACTATGGTATATTTGTCACAGCTAAGGAAGCAGCTCTGGCACTTTTTAAATTTTTTTTTTTGGCAGTAACATTGGCTTACAACATTGTATATGATTCAGAGGTGTAGGATAACACTCCTTCAGAATCTATTACTATAGCATACTCACCAAAACAACCATAGTCCTCCATGATAGTCCTTTGAGCAACTCCAAATTTTGCTCTCCACCTTCTCCTCTCCCACTTTGCTAGCTTCAATTCTATAGTCAGATTTCTAGGTTAAGTTATTGGTTTGCTTTTTGTCTGATCCTTTGTTACGTTTCTCTCTCTTCCACATGTAACTGAAATCAATGTTATTTGTCATCTTCTTTCTGACTTGTTTTGCTTAGCATTATCTACTCCAATCCCATTCATATTTTCTAAAATGGCAATTACTCATTTTTCATAGCTGAGTAGTATTCCAGTATGTATATAACCTCATTCATTAAACTCCATACTTTATATTTTATTAGTTTTTCTCTAGATCCTTTTCCCCTGTATCCCATCCAGAATGTCATGCTACATTTAGTCATTAGGTTTCC